GTGGATCCAATTCTATCACAAAAACATGCAAGTTAAACCCCAAAGCACATAAATTTTTTTTTAAAAAGGGTCTCATGTATTCCAGGCTAGCCTTAAACTTGCTAGGTAGCTTATGGTAAACTTGAAGTACTATCTTCCTGCTTTAGCCTCCAGATACATGTTTGGAAGGATAAAATTGTGGGTATGGCCCACAAGAAAGCATACAGGACTCATCTTGCATACATATAATATGGGCATAGTAAATAAACATAGATGTTTTTCTTTACCTTTGAAGAGGTTTAGCTTCTTAGCAGGTGGGCCAGCACATTTTATAAATTAATTAAGAACTTGGGTCTGGCACAGTGGCTTAGTGGGTAAAATACTTGTCACACAAGTCTGAAGATCTGAGTTCAGATCCCCCCAATCCATGGGAAGCTGGATTTGGTAGTGTGTGCCTGTGATCTGGGAGGCAGATAGACAGGAATCCATGTGAGCTTGCAGCTATCCTGGCATGTTCAGTGGCAAGTGATAAGTGACCGTGTCTCAAAGAGGGTGACCAACACCCAAGATTGCCCTCAAACTTCTACACATATGCCGTGGCATGTCAGTATCATGAGCTCACATGAGCATGAACACACTCATAAGCACAGTTTTTTTTTTTTAAATGTCCTACTTTAGCATGTTTTTATTATCCCAATAAGACAAGATCAACACATTTCTAAAGTGGTATATACATTCAGCATATTCTGGGGACACACACTCTTTCCTTAGTGGTCTCCTTGTCCTTAGTGGTCTCCTTTCTTGAGCATACTTTTCCCCTAAGATCTCTACATCAAAGTCAGATTGTTTTGAGAACAAGTATATTAATTTACAATCCCAAAGTCTGTTGGGGGAGTGGGGTTGACTCTAACCAGATTCCATGAAGTTGATGGAGTTAGGTCTGCTTCTTTGTTTGGCTGATACACAGGTGATACCTGGATAAGCTATATGTCCCAGGCTGTTTTGAAAAACAAAACACTTGAGTTTTACCTGCCTCTAGAATCTGTGTGTCTCTGGTTTTTGGCACCTTCAATGGACACTTGGTTGTGTATGTGACCGATGTCTTTCCTGCCTCTGCAGAGTCACAGAACAGTAGCAAGTCTCAGAGGGTTCTTTTTCCATCCTAAATGACCAGCTGAGCTTTGGCCTCTGTAGTTGCCCTACTGGTGGCTTGTCTCTCCTTCCTTTTCTATGTGTTTTCTCTCCAGTTCACTGGCTCTGTCACCATCCCAGTGGTCCCGGAAGTAATCGCACAGACAACTCTACCTAGTCTTGGCCTTTGCCTCTTTGTGATAAATACTGCAGTCAAAAATCAATTTTGTCTTAATTTTTCTCAACAGTAACTGTTTCAAACTACCCAGTGTATGGCTCAGTGCTAGAATGCATTCCTAGCATGCCAGGAGGCCTGGGTGTGATGCTTCAAACTACATAAAGCAAAAAGGCTCACTCAGAGAAAGAAAGCTCATGAAAGAATCCCAGCAGTGCAAGGACTGAGCAGGATGTTGGCTTGACCTTGAAGCTGGAGTGTGGATGAGCAAAGGCTGTTAGTATGCACAGCATCCAGGTGGCTACTAGCATTCACCATGGCCTGGAAGGGATTCCCATGATCCTAGCCATGGAAAACATATCCGATCCTGAGTGCTAGATCCTGTTTTCAGTGCTGACATGTGTGTGTTCAGCATGAGCCCTGAGCAGAGCTGACACTCCATTAGATGTGGCAAGCACCCAGTACATCCCTGAGGACACTTGACTCACAGAATGTCCAAGCACGCTGCCCTTGGCGCAAAGGTTCCCATCCAAGTTCAGTGCTTTCTGCTGTTGCACCCATCCGTGGTATCTAGAGCCTTCCCGAGCCTTGGGGTGTTTCTTTGTTTTTATGCCTTCTGGGGTAATGAATGCTCACTTTATAAAGGAGTGGTCTTGCCTTTTCAGAGTTCTAGAAAATTCTTCACAGTTAAAGGTGGGAGGAGCAGTTTCGTGCGAGCCATTAAGTAAGATGGACAGATGAGAGCCAAAGAAAGTGTGCACACAGGCAAAGGGCCCCAGCAGAGAAAGGAGCAGCTGTCTGATGTGCTGCTGATGTTGAGTGAGGCACTAGACAAGGGCAGTGACTGTAATTTAGCGAGGTCCTTTTGTATTGTGGGACAGTCGTTCAAAAGCTTATCAGCACAGTAGATCATCATTTCATTCCTGGTTGGTGCTCAGTGTGTACATAAATCTGGAACCAACTAGAACATATGCGTATGTATGTGTATACAAGTAGACACGAGCATATCTGGCTTGACTTGCTTTCTTGTGATTCGGTCTTTCATGCTAAAGTTGAGTGCTTTAAGTGAAGGTACTTTCCACCTGGGCTCAGTTTCCCCATCTGTAGAGAAGTCCCTTCCTCCTAGTAGTATGTGAAGATGGAGATTAGTGTAGAAATTTCAGTGACAGTCTGGGTGTATAATGCATTTTCTATAAATACAGGCTGTTATTCTTGGCACATCACCAGGATGTCCACTTCTGTGCTTTCTGATGGTAAGCTCAGCAGGTATCAGAGGGGGCGGGGAGAAGGAGGTAGGAATTGAGCTTTTGCTGGCTTTCTTTTATGAAACAGGGTAACAGGGTTTAGCATGTTTAGGTACCATGGTTATGGCTTTCCATGTGAATCCTAATTCTCTCATACTTTTATCTGTGTCATTCATTTTAGACTTATCACATACTGCTTTTCACCATGTGGCACTGACAAAGTGGCACTTGTTGTAGGCCAGTCAAGCATTGCAACACAACCAGGAGTGTTTGGGGTGTGTGTGGACATGGACAGCACAGAAGTTGGCAGAGTACTAGGAGTGTTAGGATGCTCTTAGAGAATAGATATGGTGGGAGAAGAGGTCGGTATGGCAGACAGACACTGGGATGCCAGGGGCCTTCTCTACTCTGTATAACTCTGTGATACAGGTGACAAGGAACCACAAGAGGATTGTAAGCAAGGGACTGATGTGCTCATTAGACTTAGATAAGGCACTGGATGACCATATGAAAGACAGCTTTGTGTCAAAGATTTGTAGGTAGGAAAGAAAGCCAGTCGGTATTATTGAATATTCCAGCAAGGATCATTGAAGGGTTTGAGTCCAGGGAGTGGTAGGTAGAGATGAAGATGAACTATTCAATAAGAAATGCAATGACTAGACAAGGGAGGATGGAAAGAAATTAGGGTCACTCCCAGGTTTTTATCATTAGCAACCTAGGAACTAAAAGAACAATCTTCTGTGGGAATAAAAGACGTGACCAGGAGCATGCATTGTTTAATGAGCTTCTTCAAGGTCCCTCCTGAAGGAGTGTCAGCAGTCATTTGGATGCATAGGTGTAGAATTCAGCCCAGAGGGCTGAGTGGCATTAAAAGACATTGCAGATGGCTGAGGCTTCAGAGTTGATGGCCAATACATAGAGCATGAAAGGAGGAGAGTGGGGACAGAAGCTTGGAAAGCACAGGATTCAGTGTGGTTTGGGAGACAAAGGAAGAGTACAGTTGGTCATGATCACCGAGATCAAGGGCTGAAAAGCAAGGAGAAAGTAACCTCTTGTGTCACAGGACAAAACAAGGGCCAAGTTCACCCTGGAATTGGCTGTGCTTGAGAAGACAGTAGTGAGATCAGAAGCCAGACTTGACTGGGGAGGACCAGCAGGCATAGTGGGGAGGAAAAGAAGCCAGGAGGGGATCTCATCTTGCAGGAAGGGTGCCTTCCATAGGTGGCTTGGGGACAAGAATGTTTTCCGTTTCTATGATCTTGTAGTTCTTGTTATTGCACTGTGCACCTCGACCCTGTGCACTTATGTTACTTTACGGAGATGAGATCTTGCCTTCCAGGGTACTGTTGGGCTCAAGGGTTATTGCTCATGGTAATATTAGTCTTTTGTCACTATCTTAAAATAAGACCCATTCAACCAAAATCTGGCTTTGTACCATTAAAACATGTACCATCTCCTGTACTTAGGAAGGAGTTGGCTTGGCTTATGAACATATGTGAATATGTGTTATACAATTTGAATGCCTGCAGAGGATGAATACGATGAATAAAGTCCTATGATTACTAATCATCCTTCCTTCCTTCCTTCCTTCCTTCCTTCCTTCCATCCTTCCTTCCCCTTTCTTTCATTGTCCTTAACTCATGCTTTCTTTCCTCCACTTTCTAAGGGCTGGAGTTATAGGTCTGCACTACATTGTATAGCTAATTGCCAATGATTTTTATGGTGAATTATTCATTGTTTCAAAATACATACTTTAACAGCTACTATTTTTATTTTTTAAATGCTTATTTTGTTGAGCGCTGTCTAGTGTATGTATCTTAGTATTAGTTTCTGTTATGTTATGTGTAGAAATGTGTTTTAGGAAAACATGCAGGAATTGAATGTATTGAAGAGTAAGTTAAAGTTGAATTTAATTAAAGAAAACAAAGCCATTTCTCAGTTTCTTTCATTAAAAGACATTAGAGAATAATTGATTTCTGAGAGTCATTTCTCTTGAAAGAATTTGTGTCTTCTGCATTATAGAAACTGAGCTGGATAGGGTGTCTGTGTGAACTGAGTATTGGCCATGGGGATTTCAGGTGCTTGGGTTATTTTTGATTCTGGTGCTAGAAATTAAGATTCCCAGGCTTTGCTGCCTGTACCTTGGGCTTTCTTGAATAAGACCAAAATCTACTCCATGTTTTCTAGGAGTTACCAGCTAACTGATTCAAGTTGGAAGTAAGCCGGGGATTCCTGAATCTCAGAATGCTAACTTGAAATCCACATTACCTGTTGTGGTGTATGTGTTTGCGTGCACTGTCTGTCTGTCTATCCCTAGGCTTGTGTATTCCAGGACTGTATCCCCAGCCCCAGCAACCCACGTTTAAACTACAAGGGTAGGATTCTGTTCTGTGATTCTTGGTCTGTGGTCTAGAACTTACTGTATTTATCAGGGACAACTTTTCATATTTTATTTTATATTTTTGAAACAGGCTTTCTGAGACTGGCCTTGAAGTCCTGATGTAGTAAAGAATGACCTGGAACTCCTGACCTTCCAGTTTCCCAAGTGCTAAGATTACAAGATTTATGGGGTGCTGAGGATGGAGCACAGAGACTCAGGCAAGAATTCTGCAGTTGAGCTGCACCCCCAGATTCTGAGGAAAGACTTTCATGGGTCTTTCCCAGGCTTGGGAGAGCTTTCCTGATAGATGTTGTTACTCCCTTTCGAGTTAAAAGAGACTTGGAAATGGCTGAGTGCTCTGCTCTCCCAGCCACTCTCCCAGGCTGACCTGGTCAGTGTTACTGAAGGAAGTCACACTGCTGTATTAGGAATTGGGAGCTGCCTTCAAAATCTGCTACATCTGCACATAAGTCAGCTTGAGAGTTCTCTGGATGTATCTGAGAGCCATTCAAGAGAGAGTGTCTCAGAGGTTGCATTAGCACAGTGTCTACTTCAGCTCTACAGGAACTGACTTCCTGGTGCTGACCCGAGCACAATAGAGCACATGGTATAGGGGTCAAGACACTTGCTCCAGGCTGGGTGTGGTGGAGCACACCTTTAATCCCAGCACTCGGGAGGCAGAGGCAGAGTCAGGTGGATCTCTGTGAGTTTGAGGCCAGCCTGGTCTTCAGAGCCAGTGCCAGGATAGCATCCAAAGCTAAGCAGAGAAACCCTGTCTCAAAAAAAAAAAAAAAAAAAAAAAAAAAAAAAAAAAAAGGGAGAGAGAGACAGCCCTGTTTTCATCCACCAAGACCCTTACAATCTCATCAATTCTTTCTCTCCACATGATCTTATAACTGCTGGAGTATCTCCTCCTCCTCCTCCTCCTCCTCCTCCTCCTCCTCTTCTTCCTCTTTCTCTTCCTCCTTCTTCTCAGGGTTTCTCTACATTAACAACCTTGGCTGTCCTGGAACTTAATTTTTATAGACCAGGCTGTCTCTTAGGAAGGAACTTGGACTTGAAAGTTTGAGAGGAGAGAATGATTGTTGGCATTTGTTTAGAGATTTTGAGAGTAGTGCAAATTCGGCTTTTCTTAAAAATTGGAGTAAGAGTTTCATTTCTAGCCTTCATTACTTTAGGGTTGACTGTGAAACAGGATAAGGAGAGTGCTACTTGCCTTAGGGCCACACACACTGGCAGGGTTTCACCCCAGGAAACTTGGTGAGGTGTGGGGTTTCCCTTCTAAATGATGGGGAAGCAATATGGGTTTCCATCACGATGCTCCCTTTGAGGTAACCAGCGATTTTATACTGTAGCCCTGAAGGAGATTCTACAGACTCAAGTGCCAGAAAATGGAAAGTTGAGAGGAGAGAGGGGATGGAAGAAAGGGAGGGAAGATCATATTGAAACAGGTTGAGTCATTTCTCACCTATTTCCTAAACATTCTCTCTCTCTCTTTAAAGGCAAATGTGCTATGAAATTGAATCATGATTTTTATATAGACTTAATTGTGTACATTGTCATCTATGTGTCTATTCTCACAGTTGATTCTGTAGTTAATGTTATGGTTTATTTTGTTGTGTCTTTGTTTGTTTGTTTGTTTTCATTTTTTGAGACAAGGTTTCTCTGTGGAGCCCTGACTCACTCTTTAGACCAGGCTGGCCTCGAACTCAGAGATTTGTCTGCCTCTGCCTCTGAGTGCTGGGATTTAAAGGTATGTGTCACCACTGCCTAGCTTGTGTTTTTGTAAGCTACAATAATAAACCTTTCCTGGGTGATGGAGGGAATTACGCCCCCCCCCCAAAAAAAACCCCAGAAGAGTAAAAGGTTGGAAAAGTGCCAGATACTTCTGACTGTAGTTATTTCTTTAAAAAGCTACAATGCTGAGAGGTGGTATAGTGGCAGAGTGCTTGTCTAGCAGCAAAGAAGCCCTCAAACCCCAGCACCCCCCCACCTACCTATTTTGTTTAAAAATAGAATTTTTGTTTAAAAATAGAATTGTTAGACGAAGTTGGGAGTACTCAAAATTTCTGTTTTTGTCTTATTTCTAATACTGTGAGCAATCTGATTAAGTGAGGATGCGGGAGGCTGGAGGATGAAGGGTAAGAAAAGGAGGACCCAGACCTTGACATCAGCACTCATAGGCACCCACAGTCCTAGCAGATACTGCTGGAATCTTCAGTTAAATATCGGTGCTCGCTATTTCAGGACACTTTCTGACTTACAGACAGAAAGAAGTTTGGTAATTCTTTTCAGCAGAGTTGTTTTTTGTTTGTTGCTTTTTAATTCATTTATTTCAGTGTTGGGGATTGAAGACAGCGGCTCACACATGCTCAGCAAACACTCTAGCAGCGAGCTCCATCCTCAACTGTATCAGAACTAAGTACCTAGACCTCTGTATATTTTGCATTTTGTTTTGCTGTGCTTTGTTTCCAGATGTGACTCAGGTGTCACTTTGACAGAGTGCTGTCGTTTCATAAGATACTTTGAGCCAGTTCTTCTTTTTGTATTGCTGCACTGGGTATCAACATAAGGCCTTCTCCACTGACTGAGCCCACTTGGCTCCACACCTCTCCCCATCTTTCACAGTGTGGCTTAGTCATGTTTGCTAGCCAAAGAACATTCCTGCTTAGTCGAGGAACCTAGAAACGATTCACTGTCATAATTAGGAGAAAGACCTAATCTTTCTAATAATCACAGGAAGAGCCTCGGTGTTCAGGAGGGCCTGTCTTTTAAGGTTGCGTTCTTTATGTAATGCTGAGGAGTGTTTAGCATTTTGAAGTTCACTTGGGCCATGGAGTGAAATGGAGTGAGTGACATGTTCTTATTTTTAATCGGCAACAGTGGGGTCTCTGCTTGGGGGGGGGGACCACTGCACAAGACTGAAAAGCAAAAGTTTTAAGAAGCCAAGAAATCAGTTTTTAGCCTCTCATCATTATATGCCCCGATAAAGATGGCCGTCCTTCAGTGTTTCCTTCTTCAGTATATCCAGCAGCCAGCCTTTCAGGAGGGCATCTTGTCTGTAAACTTGGCAACAGGCAGGCACTATGAGAAGCTTAAAGTTAAGCCAGTCCCTCAGCTGGGATTCAGAGTTTTAGCCCAAAAGATTTCCTTTGATACTAGAAGTACTTTTTCCTTAAAACCACTGTGTGCTTTTTAAAATAATGGCTAAAGACCACTTTCTTGTAACTGGCCCCAAGGATGCTGTAGAGTTGTAAACTTAAATTTTTTGTAATCCTCAGTTCTGGGAATGAGTAGGCTGCAGGTAATTTCAAAACCAAAGGACTGGTTAATAATATAGCCTGTATTTCTCTATGAGAGGGAAAGATTTAAGGGAAAACTATTAGATTGTAGCTGTGACCAGTCTTTATATGGGAAAAGATTAATTCTGGTGGACTAACTACATCTAAAATTAGAACTGTGGGAACAGGATTATATGTAACAAAATGCAAGAGATTAATGTGTCTCTGTGTGAGTGGATTGTGAGAGTTGAGAAAGGGAAATATGAAATGAATATCCAAGAAGGTATCAGATGAGTATAATTAAATTGATTTCTGCCTTATATCAGTGTTCAGTGGGGGAACCTCGTTCTCTTCATGCTCATGGGGTCTCTTAAAGCTGCTCCCAGTTACATCTTTTGATGACTTTTAAAAAGGATTATGTCATAACAATCACTGTCTTTTTCTGACTAGCCAAAATAGAGGTTAAGACAAAATCTTTTTTTTTTTTTGACGGTCCTAAATTGTTTATTGGGTATGAATTTTACAAACATCACATATATTAGCGGTAACGGTGGAGCTGCAGAGGATTGTGCCTTCTCCAGGCTGCGCGGCGAGAGCCACCAATAGTGTGGTGGAACTTGTGGCCCTTTCCAAGGCCACGGCTCTTGCGGCCAGCAGATGTCAGCCCACGCATCTCCCTGTGCTTATGGACTGGTTTGGTGATCCACTGTATGTCAGGGTTCCTTCTGATAGCTTTATGGAATGGATCAATGAGGATAATCTCAAAAAAAAAAAAAAAAAAAAACTTGTATGTGGAATCTTCACCAACCCAGTAAAGAATTCAGGACTCTCAAAGCCCCGCAAAGACGTCCAGCTCTCTCCTCAGCAACAGATTGGAGGCTTCTGGCAAACTTTAGCTGGTTAACACCAGAATGGACAGGCTTGCCGTAAGTTGCACCCTTAGGAACTGGGCGTTTGCGGCCACCACGGCGGACACGAATCCTGTATATGACATAACTTTGCTTGGCCTTGTACCCCAGCCTTTGCGCTTTATCAGGCCGGGTGGGGCGGGGAGCCCTGTGCAGCGCAGAAAGCTGGCGGTATTGTCAGCAACGGACCTGCAGCAGAAAGCGCATCACGTCGGACTGCTTCTTCCTCCATAGCTCCTGGATGTATTTGTATGCACCCATCTTGGCTCACCTGATGGCTGCCACCAGAGGAAAGCAAGACAAAATCTTGAGGTTGACCTAATTAGGTGAACTTTGAAAACACCCTAACATCACACCTAGCTTTTGACTTGAATTCTGTGGAAAATGCAGTTATAGATTTTCTTTTCAGTTAGTAGATGTATGAAGGGCTGAGGTGTAACTAAGGGGTAGAGTGTGTGTTTAGCATGTCTGAAGTCCTGGGTTCAGCTCTGCAAAGTTTAGAAAATTACAACATGTATTAGGTCGCCTTTATCTGAAGCTGTGGCTGTCTACCACCTTTGTTCATAGCAAGCCTACATCATTCCCATATCCCTTAGGGAAAGTAATTGGTTTAGTTTAAATGGAGACACCTTGAGTGCAGGACCCTGTATCCTTCTTTGATATGTCCTTCTAGGCTTTGTATGTGGGACAGTGAGAGAGAATTTGATCAGCATGACTTCTGGACTGGAACTGACTCTTGCAGATACCACTTGTGGAACCTGAAACTGTTGGGCTATCTCTACCTGGTACAGAGGGCAGAAATATAATTCTTGCCCATAGGAATGAATCCATTTTACATACTCTTTCACACGGGGATAGAGTAGAAGTCCTTAGGAAGATGTCACAGTGGTATTCTAATCCCCAATCTTCATCCATGGGTCGTTAATACTCAACGTGGCGTTTATAATACGATAGACTCTCTACTAAACAATAACACACTCAGTGTCGCATTTCATCTTCAGAGCTACCCAGGGAGGTAGGATGTTTTCTGCTGGAGAAACTGAGGCACAAGAGAGGCTGCATATCTTGATTGAGGTTCTATAGTAAGTGGCAGAACTCTCACTTGAACCCAGGAAGTCTGGTTAGTTCCGTGTTTTGTATTCATAACTATTTATTGTTGTTGCTGCTGTTATGACCCCAGGAAGGACCTCATGAATGCCAGGCAAATGCTCTGTGACCACCCTCTACCCCAGCCCATCACTAATATTTCAGAAGATGGAACAGATTAGGAAAAATGGAAAGAACCAAACCCTTAAATGTTCAGATGTACAGGTTGTAGCTGATGAGAGACCATCTTTCTTAGTGAATGTCTAGCTGTGGAATGAAGAAGGGCTTGCTGTGGGGTTTTACCTAAGATTACCTAAGAACTATATTGGATTTTCTTGTTTTTTTTATTTATTTTTGCAGAGAGAGAGAGAGAGAGAGAGAGAGAGAGAGAGAGAGAGAGAGAGAGAGAGAGAGAGAGAGATTGTCCATCCAT